GTGTGTCACCACACTCATTCTTAAACAATGCTTGCATTCACAGGTTCTGAATTTGGGCTGTAAATAGGATGCTTATGATCTTTTTAGCTTGCTATGTATATTTTCTCACAGAATTTGTCAATGAGGTTTTATTGTTAACTTTTATATCCCAATGTATTTGGAATATACTTTATATATTGTTTACTCTGTTTTTATCTATGTAAGACTGAAATAATTCAGTATTGCCAACAACCCTTTACGTTAGTCTTCACACTCTCACCTTTCTTCTTGGGAATTAATTTCTTTATTTACTTTTAAAATTGCTATTTAAAAATTGTTATCTCTTTGTAATAGCAAAAGTAGTACCAGGAGCAAGTGGAATAAGGTTAGCTTTTTGGAAGAAAGAGACATCCTGGAATGCAAAACAAATTGCGATTTGGACATTGATTTTCATTTTTTTTAAAATTACATCTCAAATTAATTCACAGAATTCGTATTTCCATGGAAAACCGAGTTAATCTGCCTTTAGAAAAAGAAAAGGGGAGGTAGGCATAGCTGGCAAGCTGTTCATCCTGAATGTTATGAGAAATAGAAGAAATTGAATAGGAGAGTGGAAAGCTGTCTCTGGCACATCCTAGAAAAAGGAAACAAGAGTAGCATTAATACTCCTGAATGGTAGTGGTCCCACACACCTGTTTGGCATGGAAATGTTCTACTAGTTTGAAATTCTGTTTGTAAAAGGTGCAATAGAGAAGAGTATGACAGTGTTTTACAACAGATGGAATTGTCTCCAGTGCCCATTTCATCTATCTTCTTCACATGTTTATTATCATGTGCAAAATTTCTCACGTGCTGAATGTCTGAGTGGCTTTCTGTAGCATATTGAACTTTATTACCATTTCCATCCAAATTCCATTTATCATGGAATGTGTGCCCAAACTTAAACTGCTTTGGAACACATATTCCATAGTAGCCAGCCCTAGATCCGTGCTTGAGTCCTGCTCACAGTGACTTAAATAGCTCCCCAAATTCATTAACTTGTAAGTTTAAGATTTTGTGTCTTGTAGTGACTTATTTCACTGTGCCCTGGCTAAAAGGCTTGTCTTAAAGGAAATACCTTGTTATTTAGGCTCAGCCCTTTCTTTTCCTTTTACTAGTGGGCTCTTTACAGCACACAACATAAAGGTGTTGAGGAAAAAATTGAAATTAAGCTCATTTAAATAAACTCGTGTGTCTTTTTCTCAGACTACATTTTATGGTTGTTATTAATATCCCTGCAGACCTCTTGTAGTTAGAAGAAGCAGCAGCATGTGAATCCAGGAATCAAAAAGAAGGAAATCTGCAGGAAGAATCTAGAGTTTCAAAGAGCTTTGGCAGATTAAAAAGGTGTATATAACAGAATATTTAGCTTTGTCATTTTTGGAGGGGAGAGGGACCCACTCTGTTTGGAACTGACTGGAAGCTATGTCTGCAGAACATGCAGTGGGAAAGCACAAGTCCATTCTGGCCATATTCTGAGTGCAAGTATAACTTTGATCCAAAGGAAAGTGACCAGGCTTGGGACAGCTAATGCACTGCTTTGGGTGATAGCCAGGAAATGGTAATTGCCTTATTGAGTTTTATTCTAATAGCAATAAACTAATCACGTTTTTAAAAACACTGTCTGTATAAAAATACTAATAGACAGAATATGTGTATATATCTGTACATATATGTTTACACAAATGCCTATATGTTTGTGTATATGTAAATTTTCTTGAATAAATTATGAGAGTGTTATACATGTTATTATGGAAGACCATAAGCTGGACTTCTGGCTAGGAAGAAATACCTTGTTAGAACAACCAATATGAGAGGGAGGGAAGCACAGACAGGTGTTTAGACCAGTTATCCCTTCCAGACTGAATATCTGATTTTGTCTGAATGTTAATCTGTCCATCTATACTACCAGGCTGTGTTACGTGAAATATGCTGTCAGTTTAATTTCATTATTTTCTCTTGCTGTGACTAGCTGTTAGTGTTAAACACTTACAGTCCTTCCTGGGGATCTGCACAATTGTAATAATAAAAACTAGGCAAAAATATATGAAAGTTACCCTGTAACAAGAAATTTTTTCTCTCTTCTCACAACCCATTTCCTCTGTACACAACAAGTTTTTGCTGAGGTCTGTTCCATACTAACACACACCTTCCCTGTGGTGGTGCTGTGCTCTACCTTTAATTCAAAGAGCAGCTGTAGAAACTGTTCTGAAATGTCTGTATTAGCTGTTATATACTTTGTTTAGATTACTCCTGAAATGTGCCTGTTATTGTGCATAACAAATAGAGCTGTCAAACATGATGAGATTTTATTGTGTTTAGTCCCTTTAGTTGAACCATCTTGGATTGACTGTTTTACTCCAACAGTTAGATGGGTTGCAGATATATAAGTGAGTTAAAAGTATTGTGATTGTTTCTGGACTAAAGCAGGTAAAGGACAAGAAATGTTATTGTGACATTTTTGTGTTATCAAACAGATGATGAAATAAACTGTAATAAGGAAAGATCACACTTGTTGGACTACTTTTTAATATTTGCTTTATGAAAATATGGGAGACTTGGGATAGCATGGTAGCTTGGAGGAGGAGGACTCAAGTACTTAGGAATGCAAAGAATTGCTTCCAGTAAGGCTGTTCACATAAATGCTGAAGCTGTGGATGTATTTAGAGCAAAAAAATATTTCCTGAACTGAATCTGAAATATATGAGATTTCTACCGTATCTAAAATGGGCTGTTCTGTTAGAGGCATATTGATGCTAGTTCTGTTAAATATTTCCTTAATCAGCCTTTTCGAAAACTTCTTGTCTCCAAGCTTGCTTACATTCAGCAAGTTGCTGAAGTTTGTGGTTGCATTTGTGAAGCTGGATAATTTAATGCTTTCACGACAGCCTAGTTGCTGAGCAAATGGTTTATAGTGATTTATGGGTAGGAGTAGAGGAACTGGCTTGAGAAGGAGAACTACGAAATGGTCAATCTGTTTTCATAAGCTCATATCTGAAACAATGATAGATGGGCAGTCTTGTTAAAACTGTGAATGGGAAAGCTATTTTACATGGTACCAGGTTAGCTGTGTTAAATCCTGTGATATTGGATTGATAATAATTCAGAAGTCATTCTGAGGACTGGGGAAGGAAACTGGGAATACATATGACAGTTACCGAGGCAATCTGTTACTGGCAAAGCCTGAAATATATTTGCTCTGGCTTGATCCTGGTGAGTGACTAGGCACCCACCAGCTGCTCATTCACTTCACTCTCCTCTTCCAGTGGGATGGGAGGAGAGAGTTAGAAAAACCAAAGTGTCAAAACCTCATAGGTTGTAATAAATACAGTTTAACTAGTGAAGGAAAGAAATAAAAAAAAACAAGTGATGCAAAGTCAGTCACTCACCATCTCCCACCAGTAGATTGATGCCCAGTCAATCCCCAAGTAATGGCTATGCTGGAAAGACGAAATGCACACGTTTTATTACTGAGCACAACATTGTATAGCAAGGAATATCCCTTTGGTCCATTCTGGTCAGCTGTCCCATTTCTGTCTGCTCCAAACATCTTTCCCAGCCTCAGGTTACTTACTGAGGGTGCAGAATGAAAAACAGAAAAGGCCTTGATGCTGTGCAGTCCCTGCTCAGCAACAGCTGTAACACTGGTGTGCGACAACTGCTGTTTTAGTCACAGCTATGGAACACAGCATCCCAGCTGGAGACAGTGCAATCTTCTGCAGTATCTAACAGAATAGAAAAACATTCAAATAACCCTTTTAGCAACTGCACTAGGTCAGTGTAATTTAGGATACTGAGAAGTTGGCATTTGAGTATGAAAATAACCATGTTCAGATTGTACTCTTAGATAACAAATACAGTCTTTGCTTCCTGAGAATACTGATTCTGTTCCAGTCCATTGTGTATGGACAATACAGGTGTTATTTTTCTGATTAACGTTTGTGGACATGGAGAATAACATAACATGCCTATTGTCTTACATAGCAGGTATTACTTGTTTTTTATTTTATTTCTCAATTGAGTGAAGATGCTCAAGTTTTCAATATGATGCATAGAAGGTGTCACAGGGTTTGGGTTTTTTTCAACACTTTTGATGTTTCATGTGAAGGGAAAGAAGGAACAAATATAATCCTTAAGCCTCACTTTTATTTGTCATCTGAAGTGCCTTACAAGGTGGCTTATATAGTTTGCCCATTAAGGAAAACATGAAGCATTACCCTTAACACTTCTGTATGTATGCATCGACCCCCACATCTAAGGCGAAAAGTAGTTTGTGCTTACTGTGTACTTCTGATTTATTTATTTATTAATTGCAAATTATTGTTCTTTATCTATAATAAGTGGTTGACTGTGAACTCATCACCTCCATTTAATATGGGTTAAAATAACTGAAATTTACGGTTTCAGTAAGTTCAATATTTCGACTCTCAGACATTTGTACAGCCGCTTGCAATGTAAACTCTGTAGTGTGAGTGAAAGTTAAATGTCCATAAGCTTTTTTCCAAATGATGCACATCTGGAAATTATAGGTTACCCAAGTAGCCATGATAAGGATAATTTGAGGTCAGTGCTTAGCTGCCTGTAGCTGTAAGTAGCTTAGAGTCATTGTAAATGGAAATGGTTTTGTAGTTTTCTTCTCTGACTAGTGTAAAGCTATCCCCAGGAGTTGTCATAGCTGCTGTGTTTCTCATCTAAAAAGCATTGTACTAGTGTGTGTACAAGTCTTGTCACTGACTAGCATTCCTATTAATGGACTGCTTAGGTAGCCTGATCAGGTTCCCACTTGACCTTCATTGAAAGTATTAGTATAGCAATACTTTTCTTTTTTTTTTTGTAACTAATTGTTTCAATAGAATTGTCCTAGATGGGAAAGGTGGGGTTTTTTAATGAATTTTCTTTAACCTATTCATTGCCTCCAGCCTGCTATTTAGTTTGATTTTGAAGAAAAATGAGTAATCTTTTTAATCACTTTTGCCTTGTAGGTTAATCTCCGTGCCACTGATGTGAAACTTATGCGTCAGCTCCTCATCATCAATGAAAGTATTGAATCAATCAAGTGGATTATTGAAGAGAAGGCCATTGCCAGCAGAAGCAGCAGTTTGAGTGGCAGCCTGTGCAGCTTGCTAGAAAGTCAGGAGACATCCCTTCATGGCAGCTGTAACAGTTTACAAGACTGTAGTGATGGACTGGATGGCATATCAGTGGGGAGTTATTTGGACACATTAGTGGATGATGTCCCTGGTCATCAAACCCCTTCAGATATGGACAAGTTCAGTGATTCTTCTATTATGGATGACTCACAGCCTCTCCATAAGCATCCCAAAATTGATTCTGATGAGTACTACTGTTTTGGTTAATAAGAACAAGTTCCAGTGGGACACAAATGCACTTGTACTTATCCTTTTTCTTTGCTGCTATTTTATTTTGTGTGCAAACCCCTCCAAAGTTCTCTCGAAAAGAGAACTTAATATGATACTTTGAATCTACTGCATAACTTTTCTGTTGCTTCTAATACATTTTCTCCTTGATGGATTGGGCTTTTCTCTTCACATTTTCATCTTCTTAATTTATTGCTGCAATTTTTCTTTTTTTTGGTTTTAATTTTTTACAATGCTGTATTTGCAGGTCTTTTTAAATGGTGAAAATGAGACATCAGGGAATGAGAGCAACAATTTTGTATTTGTTGTCAATAAAATACCTTCTGATAAATATATGTTGTTGTAAATTTTCTTGATTACCAAGTTTGGCCTTTCCAAAGGCACTGTTCTTATTGAGCCTTAAATCTGAATCCTGAAAATATGTCTACAAAATAATTTTCCTTTTGTAAGCAATGATATTTGATTCTGTTAAGCTGTCTTCAGTTGAAATATAAAATATCCTAAACTATTCTGTGTGGGGTTTCATTCTTTCTGCAGTGTTCTCATGCTTCTTGTCCAATTTTGATTTTAAATTCTGATTCTAAATTTGATTTTTAAATTCAGCAGTGTTGCCCTGCTGTCTCTTTGTGTCCTGTTTTGCAAGAGTTTGCTTTAACCTTTTCATGCCTACTGGTGTAGTTGAGAGCTGCAGCTAGTCAGTTACATTGGAAGCAGTTGAGAAGAAAAACAGTAACTGTTGTGTGGAAAGTCTCTGGCTTTGAGACTGTACTGGTCCATGTTTTTGTGCAGAAGATTATGAGGAGGTAGATTTTTCTTTAAATTGTGTCAGAATAATAAGAAACCCGCCCCAAGATCTTGTATTTCTACATTAAGAAGAAATTAGAGTAAAAGAAATAGCATTGAACCAGGCACTTTAGTGGATAATAAATGTGTATTTCCAACATACAGATAGTGAAAGAGATGTTGATACTTACACATCATCTAAAAGTCCTGTCTTGCCATGTCTACCAGTATTCCTACTGCCAGTAAAGCATGAAATTCCCCCACCGAAGAAATTAATGTTTGCGAAGTATAAAGCAGGATCCCATTTAAAATCTGTTTTACACTTTCTGAAGGAATAAAGTTCGTACATGCAGCAGGTGATATCTGTCAGTTTGGTTTATTCTGAAACAGACTAAAAGTCCAATAAATTCTGCTCTTCCAAGCCATGATTCCGTGGATCTGTCTTGTCCAGTTTTGATCAACATCAAATGCAAAGAAAAGGTAAAAACTCAAGAAATTTTAAGTGGCAATTTGTGCTTTGTGGCTAGCTTCATTGCTACTCAGTGCAGAGGATGTCTGTGTCCCCCAGCATTAAAAAACCAAGACATGTATAATTTGCTTTGGAGATCATGCTTTATTAAGATTGAGTTATAGTTAAGAAAAGTGTCATTACCAAGAATGAGCCTCCTCAGCTCAGCTTCTGGGATCAACCAGGGTATTGCAGATAGCTTGAAGGGAAATAGAGGCAAGCCCTCAAATAGCAATGCTGTGCTGACTTAATATTTTTAGGGTTTTTTTAAATTCCTTCCCCAGCTGATGACTGCTGGACATAGTTTGGAAAAAAAAAAGTTAGAAGAAAAAAATCTTGGGCAAAATTATTTCTCAGTGCAACACTAAATAACATATCAACTGTGAATTCAAAATAGGGTTTATTACTTTAAGTTATTTTAATCTAGGAAACAGAACTAACTCCCAGATATTAAACTGTGACTCTTTTGAAAGTGTTTCTACCTTTATTGCTTGGCATGAAAGTAAAACATCAGGATGTATACTCCTTCTGAATGTAATGAATGTGGAATATATACAGTCTTTTCTTCTTCAACTGAGATTTCAAGTAGTAGGTCAAGATGCACATATAATTTTTCACCTATGAAGAAAATTAAAGAATATTTTTAACATACCTTTTCAAATATCCCCCCGAGTTATGCTGAAATTACTTCAAGGAAAATCCAGGCTGTAGCTGTCACCACCCATTCATAGTTATAATACTGTATAAAGAGTAATTATATCAGTGATAAATTTATCATGTTATGTTTTAATAGTTCATTTAAATGGATATCAAAGCTGGGGGAAAAAAGAGCCTACTACTAGAAGTGGTGACGTGAAAGCTGATTGTGATTAAAAGTTTTTATTCCTCTATGTCTTCTAACTGGAAGTGGATAAAGTGTACAAAAGCCAAAACAGAGGTGTCGGGAGACTGTGTTAGAAGGAAACAAGAATTTCCATGTGTTGTGTTTGTGAAATCCAAGATTATGAACACCTTGGTTTTTATTTTTGAAGCATAAAAACTTCTAAGATTTAGATTTTACTTAGATTCCTTAATTGCATTAAAAGGAATTCATAGTCAAAAGATAATAATTTACTCTGATTTTCCACTTATGACAGACCATGATATTTGGTCACCTCCTAAAATTAATCAAATTGTTACAACTGAAATGCAACTTCACTGTTTAGACAATGCAAATTGTTCAATGCTCCTTAAAAAAAAAAATTCCCATTGGGTCATTAAATTTTCTTTAAGCAGTTTACATATTTATTCTAGCTTCCTATTAACCTGGTTGACCTTGGTCTTGCAAAATCTTCATGTCGTAAAAAAGAATCTGGATGCCCTCTTCTAGCATGGGCTTCCCTGTAAACTTTCTATCTGATTAACAGAACTAAAAAAAATTTATTCAGTAGGGCAGAGAATCTGAAAACGCTTCACAAAGCTATGTCTGTTTCAAATGGATAAAAGCAACAATCAAAAAAAAAAAGGAAAAAAGTGGAAAACCAGCATATATAATTCATTTATTCTCTGTCATTTTCTGTCACCTTGGCTCTTCTGACATTTAGCTTACTTTCAGGCGTGACAAACGATTTCAAAACACTTTGTAAAATCATGGGCGACAAGCAACACCCAGTCCATTCTTATTTCCATACCACTGAAGCTCTGTCTTTGAAAGACAATCCACTATATAAGCTGTGTCATTCAGAGACAATAAGGGACAGACAAAAATATAAGGCAAATTCAACATGCTTCCTGGTTTAGTACAATTGTTTCCTGCTAATAATAAGAATCAGCTAGTAAATGGATGTGCTCTGGTTCACAAACAAGCAATTGAAGGAGGGGAAAAAAAAAAGAAAGCTAACATTTTCACATCTGAAAACTGTGGGTCTTTAAAGACTCTGCCAAGATGGTCTAGTTATGAAGTTTTGAGGCACTTTCAAAAGAGTAATTAAAATTCTTTGAAATCTCTCTGCCAGCTGCCAGGTACAGCACTGATCTCAAGGTTGCATGGATATGTCTACACAAATACTGTGAGTATGAAGAACCAAATAGGAGCTTTTACGTCATCCATCAGTAGGCCAGAAACATTGCAGTAAGAGACTGAAGACAGAACAGTGTCTCTGCCTTTGGAATGTGAACTGTCATCCTATGAATAGAAACAGAATGATTAAAAAAGACAGAAATCTCGTGTACCTTCTTAAAACGAACCCTGACTTTTGAAGGGAGTGGTAGAACGTTGTATTGTTTGAAGTTCCAAAAATCTTTCTCTGCATTTCCCTTTGACAAAGAGAACTGGCTAGTCAAGGTGAGTGAAGCGCAGTCTGAAATAATGTCTCGTTACACCACGTAGCTGCATCTCATGTAACCCTATATAATCAACTGAGAAACTGAGGGTTTTGTTTAGTTATCTTAAGCAGTTACTAAGCTGTTGAAAAAGCCTGCGCTAGTATTTTTCATCTTGCCAACACTTCTGAACAAAGTCTAAAAGATGTGTCTTTGATATAAAGAATTAATATATACTCAATAAACATGAGATCAGTAAAAGCATCCATCACCTTCCCGCAAAGGAGGCTTTGTTTCACTTTAAATGTGCCCACTTACAGCAAGTTTGTCTTTCTCAGAATACCTATGAATTTCCTATAGAAACTGTATAAGAGCATCCTTCCCTGAAACAAGCAGAAGCTTTTCCCTTACTTAAATTAAAAAGAGATTAATGCTGCCTGCACTTGACCTTCCCATTGGCCAGAGATTAAATTTCCCTATTAAGTATGTCAAAAGTGAAAATTAAACAATTGCTTTTTCCCCCCCTCATGTAATTTTCTATGCTATGACATTCTACTAAGAGAGTAAACAATCTTTGTGAAGTCTTTTTAAAAGCATACTCTTCCAATAAATATGTCTGGTCTTCAGGACTGACATTTTCCTTTAATTTTTCTTGGTTTGTTGGCTCAGTCCCTAAAGAAGGATGTTTTTTGGTTATATGTCTTTTGGTTAGGAGACCACATGATAGAAATGTCTGATAATAAATATCAGGAACACAATCTTGGTTTGGGAGGGGGGAGGAATAGTTGGGGTTTTTTTCCAAAATTGGCTGCAGAAACTATGTTGGTATTCCTGAGAAATTTCCTTCCCCTCCCCCATTTTTGTCTGACATTCATATAGAGAGAAAGCAGGAGATTGAGCCCAAAGGTCTGAAATCATGCTCTTACCTGGAAACGCTTATCCTCAGTACAAACTTATCAGCATTGATGATGACATCATTCACATGATGACTGCATTGTTCATCTTATGGAAACCTGTGAGAGCACTGAAACCATTTTAATTTAGAAAGGATACTGCTTTGATTTGTGAAGGAAAATGTTCTTGTTAGAACACCATAAGTTTTGGTCCATGAATTAGGAACTCAAGGATGAAGTAGTCAATAAAATTAAAAATCTTTTTCTGTTAGGTCTGTCCTGTAGTATACTGTGTTTCTATTCAATGTTGTTGGAGAAAGTGTTTATTTTAAATGTATGCTATGTCACTAAATACTAAAATGCCATTTACTTTCTTCAGATGGCGTTATGTGACGTTTCATCACAACTATTTAAAGTTGTAAGAGCAGTAGAAGGATGCTCTGAAATACTGAATTTAAAATAGACTTTAAGCTTTAGAAATTTTAATTGTAAAC